GGACTGAAAATCAATTTTAATAAAAGTGAGGTTATTTGTTTGGGAGAAGCAAAAAAACAAAGAGGAGTACAGTAAGATCTTCACTTCCAATATAGGTAATTTGCCTATAAAGTATTTGGGTATACCGATTAATAAAAAATGAATCATGAATAAAGACTGGAAACAGACTGAGGAGAAAATGGAAAAAAGGGTAGGATGTTGGCAGGGGAATTTGCAATATATAGGAGGAAGAGTAACTTTGATAAACTCTTGTTTGAGCAGTACACCTCTATACATGTTGTCTTTTTACAGAATTTCCAAAGGAGTGAAAGAAAAAATTGATTTTATAAGAAGAAGGTTTCTTTGGCAAGAAGACCAAAGGATTAGGAAATACCATTTGGTACAATGGCCAGTAGTTTGCTCTCCAAAAGAGCAAGGGGGTTTGAGAATTAGAGACTTAGACATTATGAACAAAGCTTTGTTGGGTAAATGGCTTTGGAACCTGGAGAAAATTGATTGAATGTGGCAAAAGCTTTTAAAAAGAAAATACCTATCAAAGAAAATCTTGGCAGCCCAGAAAATCAAAAAGGGGGCTTCACATTTCTAGCAAGGGATTATGGAAATTAAAGATGTTTTCTTTAGTTATTGCTGGAAAAAACCAGGAAATGGGACAAATACTCTGTTTTGGGAGGATAACTGGATGGGGGGAGCCTCTGGCACAAAAATTCCCTTACCTATACAGAGTCACACATACACATTATATAACTCTGGCAGAGGTTAAACAAAAAGGTTGGGGTAGCATAATTTTAGAAGGAACCTATTGGGAGACAATTTGAGGGATTGGAATTACATTAAAAGTTGCTGTGATCAAGTAAGACTCCAAAGATGAAACTGTTTGGGGACTAACCAAAAATGGGATCTTCAGTGTAAAATCCTTTTATACTGCTATGAAAATGCAAGAGGCTGCTTCTATGATGGGGGTGATACACAAGAAGATTTGGCAGATAAAAGTTCCTATGAAGATCAGGATCTTCCTTTGGCTTTTGTTGAAAGATAGTGTTCTAACCAAAGACAATTTAAAGAAAAGGGGTTGGAAAAAAGGAAATGAAACATGTCAGTTCTGTGATAAAAAATAGTCAATTCAACACTTATTTTTTTATTGCCCCATGACAAGGCTTACTTGGAATGTGGTGGCATGTACTTTTGGTTTGCAACCTGTGAAAAACATTCAATATGCTTTGGGTTGGGGGTTTGGATCCAGAAATGGGATAAAGTAACAAAATACTTAATGTTGGTGGGGATAGCAGCTGTGCGGTGGTCTGTTTGGAAGACAAGAAATAAAGCTTGTTTTGAGCGGTTGTTGCCATAGGACCCCACTGAAATTTTATATCAAGCGTGCTCATGGATGCATGATTGGGTTATTCTGCAGAGACAGGTGGGAAATCAAGAAAAGCTGCGATGGGGAATCCAATTGCTAAAGCAGGTCACAAATGAGGTGTTCAATTCAAGACATGGATGGCGCGCCCTTCAGAAGGATTACAAGCAGCTGAGCGGATTAGAAGAGAGGAGAGAAATATCCAAGTTTTGAACAAGGACACATTTGTTAGCCTGTTTAGGAGAGTCATCTGTTAAATATCTGTTGTCGCTTTTATAAACTCTAAACGCAATTGTGTTTTCTTTTTTTCTCTTATACTGTAAACTGTGATATTTCTCTTAATGGATAAAAAGAAAACTAATTGCACAGTTTGCATGTGAACCGTGAGACGAATCTTTTGAGCCTAATTAGGCCATGATTAGCCATAAGTGCTACAGTAACTCACATGTGCTAATGACGGATTAATTAGGCTCAAAAGATTTGTCTCGCGGTTTCTAGGCGAGTTATGAAATCTGCAGGACAATATTTTTTATCACAAATGTGAGCATCTACAAACAATTGAGTTTTTTATGAGAAAGTTAAAGAGGATTTTAGTTCTAAAACTTTAGTGACATATTTCTTGATATTTGATTCTGAGTAAAATTTAGCTAAACACATATTTTTTGGTCATGGTTATTGGACATCACAAGTCATAGTGTTTCACGAAACCTCATCGAGTCTAAATTTCAATTCACCAGGAATCAACTGGCACATCCAAACGAGCTACGTATTTGAAATGATTATCAATTTGGTATTATTAATTCTGATTGTAGAATTATTTTTTTACGAGAAACTACAGGAGAGGCTCCTACGACTGTGATTGTAGAATTATTGAATGATGAAAATATTATATTTGAGAATTCAAATTTCTATTATTTATTTGAGAATTCAAATTTCTATCATTACAGACCACAACTTGCTATTATTAATCCAAATTTCGAAGAAACTAGGTATTCATAAGAATACAATTGATTGACTATTTATTTGTTATATTTGTTGTTATTAATTTCAAATTTTGGATTTACCAAATAATGAAATAAATTAGATTATTTTGTGAGGGAAATAAACTATAATTCAATCCCGAAACAAAGTGCAATTTGATATTTATTTTTTTGAAATTTGAAATAATTAAATCACCAAGAAAACTAATTAATATTTTATTAGAACAAGTATGAGTTGGAATTTAATAACTCCAGATTCTAGAATTATTACATTATGTACAAACTTTAATTGAGACTCTAGATCAAGTACAACTCTATATTATAATTATATATTATTAAATCATAAACAAACTTATATCTTAGAGTGACAACCAAATAGAACGAGGCCATTTATTAATTTAGAATTTAAAAATTAATTTTCACATTAATTTAGAAACTAAAAATTAATATTTATTTAAGGCTCCTAGAACAGCAACTTAAATAAATAGCTCTCCCATGAAAGTGACATCATGGGAATGTTTTCTGTCATTCAGCTTATTTCTTGTTTAGGCCTGTTTAGTTCCCAAAATAAAAACTTTCACGCTGTCACATCGAATGTTTGTACACATGTATGAAGTATTAAATGTAGGGAAAAAACCAATTATACAGATTGCGTGTAAATTGTGAGATGAATCTTTTAAGCATAATTGCGTTATCATTTGACAATGTGGTGCTACAGTAAATATTTGCTAATAACGGATTAATTAGTCTTAATAAATTCGTCTCGTAATTTTTCTGACGAAATCTGTAATTTGTTTTGTTATTAGACTACGTTTAATACTTTAAATGTCTGTCCGTATATCCGATATGACAACCAACCCTAAAAATTTTCCACAACTAAACAAGGCCTTAGGCCGTATTTAGATGCTGTAAAAATTTGGCCAAAATTTTTTTTTGACGTATACGGATACATTTGAAGTATTAAACATAGACTAATTACAAAACAAATTACAGATTCCGACTGTAATCTGCGTGACGAATCTTTTGAGCCAAATTAATTCGTTATTAGCACATGTGGGTTACTATAGAACTTATGGCTAATCATGATGTAATTATGCTCAAAAGATTTGTCTCACGATTTACAGTCAGACTGTGCAATTAGTTTTTCTTTTTGTCCACATTTGATGCTCCATACATGTGTGCAAACATTTGATGTGATGAAAAAATAGGAAGTTTGAAGAAAAAAAGTTAGAATCAAACACAGCCTTAGTTTGGCACGTTTAGCTATGAGTAAATTGCGCCAGCGGTAAAAAACTTGGCAGGTGGGTACGATTTAGTGTAAAAACTTGTAAAATAAGCAAACTGGTACATAAACTTAACAATCATGTGCATTTTGATAAAAACACGGTTACATACCTATGGTTCATCGTATTTTATTGGTTGTATTTGTAAACATGACTGCTAGATTAATTGTTGGCAATGAGTATGTTTTACAGTGCTCATCACCGAATTTGTATGATCAGATGGATCGCTCGGAAATTTTGTTAGTTGGCATGCACTTAGTTTTGATAATCATTATTTTTCTAATTTTAAATAATAGGTTATTTTAGTATTATAACCAAGCAAATGCAATACATCTAAAACCTTATTCGGAACTCAAGATGACCTAACTGGCTGCTTTTTCTTTACATAGCTGAAAAAGTATGGTGTGGAAGAGAGATATTTTAACCAAAATGCACGTACTAACCAAGTTGTTACATCTATATAATCATTTTTTAAATTCTTGCACTAGATCGCACCCACTTACCAAGTTTGTGTACTGTAGACGTAATTTACTCTTTACTATCAACAGTGCGTTTCATAGATGTGTGTCCTGCTCGCGGCCCGCTGGGACGTTTGTACCACGTCCACTGCTAGCTGTCATTGATCCTAATAAAATTTCTCCCACTTGTCAGCAACAAGTGCATCCAAACATACAGTTTATTCTAGAAATCACAAATTAATAAGAGCATCTACAAACAATTGTATACTGATAAACTTATTGGAATTTTAATTCTAAAATTCTAAAATCGGGGCGTTACAAATAAATTCACGGCATAAATTTTTAGGACAAACAGACTATAATTTTAAAAATAAATGCTCTATAAACATATTTTCAAATATGAACCTATTTGCCAGGGTAAGATTGCCATGCTGGTAACCAATAATGCCGTATATCGTTTGTTAAAAGAAAAAAATAATGGCATGAAAGGATTTCACCATAGTGGACAATGCAAACACTTTTACTCCATGTACCATGGTGCTACAGTCATTTTGGTGGGAAAATAGGGTAGATAAGAACCGGTCTAAAATTTTCACAAGACCAAGTTCACCAAGTTCTGGTATTTTTCTAAAGGCAAATTTTGCTACAGGACATCCTGACTTCGCGGTTTTAGCTGTGGGACACCGCGCGAAGTGACTTTTGGGGGAAGAAACTCTCAAAAGTTGGATATTTGCTGGTGGACACCGCACCCATTAAAATAATAATTTCCAGGTAGGGAGGAGAGAGAAATCACGTGAAATATCAAAAATACCCTTGGGCCCACATGTCAGCTCTCCTATCTCTCCTCTCTCTCCCCTCTTCCCAGCTAAGATGGCGACATGCTGAGGTGCGAGCTCGCCCTGGACGCCGGGCTCTTGGCCACCTCCGTGCCAGAGCCGGTGGCGTCGCCGACCTGTGGCTGCGCCATGTCACTCTCATTCTCCTCCAACAACCGCATCATCATCTCCATCGTGAATGCGCCCTGTCACTCTCATTCTCCTCCAAAGATTTCTAATGCTTGCAGGCTTGCAGCTCAAAATTTTCTCATATGAAGATGTTGGAAATTCGTGCATTCCATTAACACATACTGTGTCAGCAACCATAAAAATCACTCATTGTCTCCTTTATTCAATCACAACTTGGCAGAGTTCATCAAATCAAAGTAGGAAAATTTTTCGCACACCCAACAGCAAACAATGGCGCGTGGCCACGAACTCGGAGATCACGCGCCGGCGGCGTTAACGAAGGCGACCATCCTGTTGAGCAACTCCTTGGCCTTGCCGCCGTCGGGGTCGAACAGGTGGAAGACGTGGCCCTCCCCGGCCGTCTCCAGCACCTCCACCGACGCGTCGCCCTTTGCCGCGGCCACTGCGGCGGCGTACGCGTGGGCGCGCCACCTGAGGAAGTCCCCCACCGCGGCGCACACCATGACCCTGTCGCACGCCATCTGCCCCAGCGCCGGCGCGCCGGGCACCATGGGGTTCATCCGCGGGTCGTCCATGCCGGTGGTGCAGGGGCACGCGTACATCCACAGCCCGGTGCCCATGGCGCACCCCTCGGGGTCGGGGTACTCCTCGCCGATGGCCTCCGAGCCCCAGATCTGGGACTGGAACAACGTCATGTCCCGGCCTAGCCAGAAGGAGGGGATAGAGAAGAGAGATGGGAGAGCTGACATGTGGGTCCAGGGGTATTTTTGACGTTTCACGCAATTTCTCTCTCATCTCCAATCAAAAATTATTATTTTAATCGGTACGGTGTCCACCAGCAAATATCAAACTTTTTAGAGTGTCTTCCACCAAAACTCACTTTGCGCGGTGTCCTACAGCTAAAACCGTGAAGTCACAATGTCCTGTAGCAAAATTTCCCTTTTCTAAAGCACTTGGAATGGTGTGGTGTGATGAAGGTAGGGTGCTACAGTAATTTAATTAGATTAATGGGAGAGATAGTTTTGATTGGAATCATGCTATACGTACGACCCATCCATCCAACCGGCGTACCACTGAAACGGCAGAGCAACACATTGCGAGACGGCGTGATGATTCGTACTGCATGCTGCTGACGCCGCGTACATCGACATTGTAGTCATCTGAGAGTCGGATGTTGGGTCGTGTGTGTAGCATTTTCCTTTTGATTGTAAGCACTGGTATCAAATAAATGTCACTCCAAGAAAGATTGGAAAATAAATTTTGGTAGGTTCTATTTATGTAGATGGAAAAAAAATCTAAATTACTCCTAAACTATCGCGATGGTCTGAATTGCACAACTAAACAACAAAACAGGATATTTGATATCCCAAACTCTCTAAACCGAACGAGTAAACCCCTAACTCAATCTGAAGCGGTTGTGTGGCGCATACGTGCTAACCTAGTCAACACTAAAAAGTTAAAAATAATAAAGGACCCACATATAATATAGGCATTCTTCCCTGCTCTCTCCACCCTACCCTAGCTAAATCACCCATCCACCGCTGCCGTGTCCTAAATCCGCATAGCAAGCATGCCGACTGTCGCCACCATCGGCCACCTCCCAGCAGCGCCTCCTCCCAAATTGTGACATTCTAGCCCAATTAGGATGAGGCCTATGTAGCCTACGAGAGCTGTGTGTATATGTTTAGTACCACCTTGCTAGTTTAGCAAAAGTGGAATCAATTTATAAAGGTTTGTCCCTCCAACCATACTACTCCCGGGTTAACCCTCTTACACGAAGCAAGGATGAAAGTGTAAGTGGAATGGTATTTGTAAGTGGGAATGCCCGTCGAATGGGTTGGCTACGCGGTTCTAGACGAAGGGCCATTACAAATGGTAAGTGAGGCACATGACATGGCATATGGGGGCCGGTACTAGACATACGGACATGCGCTAAGAGGGGTGTGTTCCTGTACATTTGCCTATATGCCTGTGTGGCTATGTGGGTGAGTTGGACTGACGGGGACGTCGGGTCCTTTGAGGGGGGTGTGTGTGACATCCTGACTCAATTAGGATGAGCCATGTGTGGCCCATGACTGCTACGTGTACACGTTTAGTACCACCTTACTAGTTTAGCAAGAGTGGACCATTTGCCTATATGCCTATGTGGGTGAGTTGGACTGACGGGGACGCCGGATCCTTGGGGGGGAGGGGGTATGTGACATCCTGGCCCAATTAGGACGAGAGCTGTGTGTACATGTTTAGTACCACCTTGCTAGTTTAGCAAGAGTGGAACCAACTTACAAGGGCTTGTCTCTCCAACCATACCACTTTCACTTACAAGGGCTTGTCCCTCCAACCATACCACTCCCGGGTTAACCCTCTTACATTAAGCGGGGACGAAAGTGTAAGTGGAGTGGTATGTGGAAGTGAGCCTGCCCATCGGATGGGCTAGTGTAAGTGGAGTGGTATGTGGAAGTGGGCCTGCCCATCGGATGGGCTAGCTACACAGTTCTGGAGGAAGGGTTGTTACACAGACGTGTTCCCTAGTTCTGGCTCCGGCTGCGACCTCCTCCTTGTCAATCCCATTGCCTCCTCACCCCTTCCCCTTCCTCCTCTCCCCCTTCGGCAGTCATGTCTCGAGTGACGACCTCCTCATAGATGAGCCCGCTCACTGTTGTCCTCCATGAACTAACACGAGGAGCGTGCCGCACGCTGATTTGGTCCTAGGGCCATGGCGCGCCGCGCCGGCAAATGAAAAACTCTAACGAATGTTCGGGAGTTAGGGAATAATTTAGACCCCTTCCCCTTCCTCCTCCTCCTTGTCAATCCCATTACCTCCTCACCCCTTCCCCTTCCTCCTCTCCCCCTTCGGCAGTCATGTCCCGAGTGACGACCTCCTCGCAGATGAGCCCGCTCACTGTTGTCCTCCATGAGCTAACACGAGGAGCGTGCCGCACACTGATTTGGTCCTAGGGTCATGGCGCGCCGCGCCGGCAATGGAAAACTCTAACGAATGTTCGGGAGTTAGGGAATAATTTGGGAAAAATCGGGAACTGCAACCTATAGGTCGACAGGGAAGACATGGCTGTACGAGTGCATGTCGCGGGAGACTGATGACATGGTGGCGTGGTTTTTGTGTGTTAACGTCAAAATTTGGTAAGCCCCGAAGTCATCATCGGCCTAAAGTCAGTATCGGCTTCGAGTTCTGGAATTGGCTAATGGAAATTATCAACTTCTAGTAGTTGGATTCTTGATGGATTCGTTTAAGAAAATTAATCAATTAAAGAAAGTTTATCTAGAAGAGAGTTGAAGGAGGATGCGGCATGACAATTTATCTATTAATTAGTCAGAGTTAAATAGTTTCTTTTATTTTTAAGAAAGTGTGTTTAATGCCCGATCTGGACTTGTGTTTCTCCTTTTATCTTTAGGAAAGTTTGAGTTTTATCCAATAAGGACTAGTATCTACACATAGGTATAAATATGTATACTCGAGCCCTTGTAATTTATCTCACGGATCAATACAACTAATCTCGACGCATTGCCACCCTCTTTTTCAGTATTTTTCTTATTATCGGCGGAACTTGGCACCTGACACGGGGCTGCATCGGCTTTGATCTCCGGCGAAGGGGTAAACCCTACGTTCTATTGGCCTTAGTGAATGTATCGGCTACATCGGTGTTGTTCAAGACTGCATCGGTTCGACCTCTTGGATTGCTCTGGTTCGGTTAAGATATTTGCCTACCTGATAGTTCAATTTTATCTTTAATAGCATTGTGTTTAGAGACGTATCGGTTTAGTTGAGACTGTCTCGGTTAGGTCTAATCTTCTGACTTAGCCAATATATCTCAACAATCACAATGATACTTTAGATAGATTAGTTATATCCATCATATTAGACAGATTTATTGGCTCATTGAGTGCTTCATTATTATATACAATCTCATGTTCTATTGGTTAGGTCTGACATACTATATAGTTGTTGATAATCCCTAAGTCTTGCTAAGCCCATAGGTTCATGCTAATGTTTTATCGGAGGGTTAGCCGATCTTATTTGATGTGTTAAATTTCCCTTTGATTGTTTTACTCTCTTAGTTAAATTTAATACATGACGAGCACCCTGGAAAACAATCAAAGGCTCGATTGTTTACACCTTATACTTCCTTCATACTAAGTGTTGCATCAATTGGGTTTGACCTACTAAGTCATACTTGGAATTGTAAGAACTAACTTGCTGTTTGGTTGCTGATAAGGGTAGCATCGGGGTTTCAGCCGATGAGTTATCTAAATGTCGCATTGGCTTGTAAGGATTATATAGAAGTTTATTTTAGCCGATTAGTTCATTACTTCAATATATTATCGTCGGTTGATTGGATTGTTTGTTCATATTTTTTTCATGTTTATCTAAGTGTCAGAATATACATTTGACATATAACCGATTATTCAAAACCCTATTGACATCGGCTAAGTGTCACTACATCGGCTTGTTAGCTGATGGGTTATTTATCGTCAATATATCTATCTTGTCAGTTACATGATCAAATTGACTGACACGCCCACATCTCATCAAATATTAGGAACTACACAGCAGCAGCAGAAGATCTCCCAAACCTTCGTAGTGTTTTTTTTTTTGCGTCAACACTGTGCCAAGGAGGAGGATAAGGCCTTGCCGGTGAGCTCAACAGGCTGGCCGTCAACGCGTACTTAAGGTAGGGGAGGGAAGAGAAAAGAATAAAAGGAATTGAGTAACAATGACTCTTTAACATGTGGGTCCTCCGAATTTTTTCTTTTTTTATGCTGGCTGAACTACCACGCTGGAACAAAACCAATCCAGATCGAGATATGGAGGTTATTTGTCTAATTTAAAAAGTTTGAGGTTTTACATATCCGGTTTTGTAGTTTATGGGGTGTAATTCGAACGGCCGCGAGTCTAGGGGCAATCCAGATTTTTTTTCTTTTTAAAATATCAAATTTTAAAAAGGTTTAAGTAAAACAGAACTCCATGACTCCATGTGTTTGATGGTCTACTGCAACAAGTGGTACCGCACTTATTACCAATTAATGTAGCTCGGTTTCTTGCTACTCCGAGGTTCACGACTTGTTCAAGTTTTCGTTGAAACTTGCTTTTGTAAAAAGAAAAAAACATTTTTATACTTTATTCACTTCATCAAAACAAACCTCTTTAGTTTGCCGATTGGGATTTAGACAAGAAACCGAACATGCTGAACCGCCAAGAAAATTGCACAGTCATGCAATTCGGCTGCTGTCTTATTTAATCAAATTGCACATGCGCGAAAACATTAAGAAAGCCACAGCAAGATTCAGGATAATCATCAAGAAGAGAACTATCCGATTGGCCATCCACCGAATTCAGGATTTCAGGTCGTCCTCACGCCTACGCCCCCTGAGGAGCCATGACCGCGGCGAGCTTCTTGACGGACGGCCTCGCCATGAGCCTCTCCCACCATGCCTTCACATGAGGGTACGAGTCGAACAGCGACGCGTACGGTGTCCCCATGAAGTAGAAGGTGTAGGGGAAGTGGTTCAGGTCGGCGAAGCTGACGAAGTCACCTGCGAGGTACGTGCTCTGTGACAGTCGTGCCTCGTACACCTCCAGCACCTTCTTCAGCTTCTCCGCGCTCTCGTCCACGACCTTTTGGTTAGTTGGGATCCCACGCATGGCTGGGTTGATGATGCACTCGTACACAATCGGTGAAATCGCCGAGTTGTACTGGTGTGTCTCCACCTCGGTCCAGACATCCACCATGGCTGCCTCCCTCAAGTTGCCTTCCCGGAGTAGGTCAGCTTCCCTCGTCTTGTACTTGCGTAGGATGTACTTTCCAATAGCGCGGGACTCTGAAACGGATATGACGTAAGTCAGATTTCTGAGCCCTCGCTACTACGGTGCTCTATAATTATCGTTGATCTGATTTGATCAAAATATTTAAATCTATTTATAATACCACCTTGTTAGTTAGTGGTAGTAGAAAAGTAAAGAGGCATTATGTTAAAAAAAGATATGAAAGGGTATAATCATCACTTAGCAGTGACTAAATTATATATATTTTTGTTTTTTATGAATATGAGCGATACCAATGTAATCGATGACCACATATTGATCTAGCCGGAAAAAAACATAAATGATAAATTTACCCTAATCACTTTATTAGTAAATTACTAGTTTACTATTAATACGGTTCAGATTATTTCTACCAGTAGTATATCACTATAAATAGAGAGCATCGGAGTATCGCTTAACGGTGTATTATTGTGCAGTAAAACATGTTTAGTTTGGTTAGTTCTGTGTTAACATCATGATGACAAAAACATTTCAGCGGGAAGTAGCTAGTCATGACCAAGAGTAGCCACCGACACTCCGACAACTCCAGATCCATCTCATTAGATTTATTAGAGTTACAAAACACGCTTTTTAGTTATTTTCAATCTTACTAATTTTTGATAGGATAATGTTATTTATATTGGTCCAACATAGGCAATATGCAGAGTGATGTCTTTAGATGATATGAACAAGATAGGGCTGTTCTGAGGGCCATATTTGTAGACGTGTGTCGTATGCTTCGTCGATGTAACCGGAAAAAAAATTGTTCCAAGTAAAACCTGGTACGGCTCTTAAGAGTTGAGAGCGAGAATTAACCGAAGCTAAGCTAAGATCAGGCTTACTTACCAAAGAGGTACAGATCCCCGTCCTGGAAAGCTGGGATTTGCCCGAACGGCTACATCAAATCAGGCGTCGTCACCACCAAATCAGGATTCAGGAGCAGATAAAATCATGTCGTAGAGGGCAGAAGAGCAGAGGCATCACGTGTGTACACGTACGTTGCGTTTGAGGTGTTCGGGGCTCTTGTGCTCCATGACCGTGAAGTCGACGTTGACGACCTCGTACTCGGCGCCGACCTCCTCCAGGCACAACAGCACCCTCGCCACGTTCGTCGATTGCGCCGGCCCAAACACCTTCACCGGCGTCATCTTCTCAGCTATCCGAGCTCACGGCCACTGGTCGGCTGCGCGAGTGAGCGTGCGCAAACAAGGAGGAGTCTTTAATTGGAGCTTAGCTGGTGTGTGTTGTACGTGCCTGGTGGTAGCTTTAGCATGCGGTGCGCGAGGCCGGCTTTTATAAGCTAGCGGTGATTTCTTGAGAGAAAAAATTGCAGTGGTTGGTGTGGTGCGTGGGCGTTCGACCCTGTTGGGCGCAAAGATAGATTTGCGACCAATTCTTGTGGCGCAAAGAAGAGCATAAAGCCAAACGAAAGAGCACTAGTGTTACCACTGGACTGGAGCACTAGTGTGTGGTGTTTACCATGTTGGGCACAACACACACGTGCTGTTCGTGTGGTGCACAGAGAAGAGCTGGAGAGATCGAGTTCTGGATGGCTCGTCTGGCTAGCTAGCTAGGTGAAAGAGCCGGTACGTAAAAGGCGGTGATAATGAGTAGTGCCTTCTACGAACAACATTAACCTTCTGGAGGATTCTGAAGGTGAAAAGAAAAGGTGCTCGTGGTTGGCTGCAGTCTTGCAGACGTCAGTTCAGGATTCGGAAGGTGAAGGTGTTGGTGGTTGCCGGTTGGTTGCACAGACGTCGGCTCCACCCGAATACAGTACCGAATGTGATCCATTCCATTACTGCGAATCCGTGACTGGAACGGCGAATAAAGGTGATCTTCATTCGCTGGGGAAGGGAAGAAGAATCCAGTCCAGTCCAGGATGGAGCTGCTTGCGTACGCACGGTACATTTCGCTGTAAAACGCCCTTCAACCACAGAAGGAATAGTTCACCTGTGCTCCCTTAACTTAACTTATCGATGAACCCGATTTTCGTCCTTCAACCGAAAACCAGATACAACGGTACCTTTATTGCTAAAACCGGTGCAATATAAGTCCCATAACGGTTTGGACGACGGTTTTAGCTGACGTGACGCCTACATGGCTAAATTGACTCGGTCTTCATCTGACGTGGCAATTTGATATGGAAAATAATAAAAATTGTGACCCCACATGTCTGTTATACCAAAAGAATGAATTAGAAAATGGTGGGACCCAAATGGCCCCACGTATCATTCTCACCCCTCCTCTTTTTCCTCCTCTCTCCCTATCTCCCCTCTCTCCATCTCTCTCCCTTTCCTCTTTCTAGGCGCCACAGCATCTCGGGGAGGTCCAGTGGAGGCGGCGGGCGATGGCAACGACGACGACATGGAGGGTAGGGCGTCGGCGGTTGGAGCGCTTGGGACGGGCTCCACACGGGCATCACCCACCCAGAGAAGCTGCTCTTTGTCTTTGCCCGCGGCGTTGGCGCAGACCCTGCGCAGGGGCTCGTGGAGGAGTTCGGGGCCACGGCGCCGCCCAACTCCGACGAACTGGAGCTCGCGAGGGCGAGGTGGCTGAAGCTGCACGACTGTAAGTGCAGCTCCCGGCACTGCGCCCACGAGAACTCCAGCTCGTCGGAGACGGGCGGTGCCGCGGCCTTGAACTCCTCCACGAGCCCATGCGCAGGGTCTGCGTCAGTGCCCGGATGAAGACAAGGAGCAGCTTCTCGGGGCAGGCGGCACCCTACGCACAGAGCCCCTCCACCAACGCTCCCGCCGCGGACACCCTGCCCTTGTCCTGCGTCACCGCTGCCGTCGCGTCGTTGGCCGTTGCCGTTGGACCTTTCTGTGATGTCGTGGCTCCTGGAGTGAGGAGAGGGGAGAGAGGGGAGATGGGAAGAGAGGAGGAAGAATTAAGAGGAGGGGTGAGTATGACATGCTCTCCCCACATGGGCCCCACCATTTTTAATTCATTCTTTGGGTGCAACTGACATATGGGGTCACGATTTTTATTATTTTATAAATCAAATTGCCACGTCAATTCCACGTTAGATGAAGACCGAGTCAATATAGCTACGTAGGCGCCACGTCAGCTAAAACGGTCATCCAAACTACCATGGGACCTATATTTCATCGGTTTTGATAGTTGAGGGATCCGTTGTATCTGGTTTTCTGGTTGAAGGACTAAAATCGGATTCGTTGACAAGTTAAGGGACCTGAGATAAACTTATTCCACCACAGAAAAGATGACGAGAGATTAGCTGGGCCTAGGATGGTGCCTGCCATGCGCTGTTGCTCCTGCGGTGTGTGTTAGATGGGCTCTCTCATGGGCCTAATACAGCAGTAGCTCATCGATGAGCCTTATGCTCTCTCTATTTACTTCTTCCCCGACAAAAATCGGTTTGGAAATTTCCGAACGTACCACTCCATAAAACTAATATAATAATAATATTCTTACCGATATTACGGTATCCAAAATTTAATTTTTCTAATTTCTATGTATTGAAGTTGACACTAAATAATATCCATAAATATAAAAATTTCTCAACTGTTTTCAACCGTTTATGTAAAGTCATAGAAAAATATCGTTTCCGGTTATTTCTGGCCGTTTTCACTCCTGTCCATAGGGGCCACAGCACTTTCTGCTGATCAGGGAAGCAATTTTGGAGCTTGTTCATTAGCTTTGTTTGTTTGCTTCGTTGCATGAGAAATTTGTAATGTCAGACAAGTTACGTTTTCCGTAAGATGATTTATCCCCATTTCACCCTTTCTTTCTTTCTTTCTTTCTTTCTTTCTTTTTAAAACACAATACAAACATAGGAGCCCACAATACGCGTACACTCACCTATACGAACACACACGTACATCCTATCTCTATGAGCACCCCCGAAAGACTGGGTACGTCACCTACCACTGAAAGAATAATTAACCGTAAATAGAAACACCCCATGTCAAATCTAGGATTTGAACCTGGATAAGTTGATTCCACCACAAGAAACATTAATCGGTTGAACCACGCTCACTTCCGCCATTTCGTCCTTTCTGAAAGACGTGTCGTCAGAGCAAGCAGATTATATTTCAGAAAAAAGATCGTCGGAAAGTGTTTTATTTACTCAATATCTCAAGAGTGTCAACCAAACAATCATAAAAAAGTTTTAAATGAAATCAACATCATAGTTGTTTCATGTTGCATTAAAAATGAACTCCTATCCTTCCCCATCCTTGCTTCGATGCTGCCGGAGCGAGCCGTCGGCAAGCCACGTGGCGAGCTAGGAGGGAGGTGGCGGGGCAACACCTAAGGTGCGAGGAAAGGGGTTGTAGTGAAGGTGGACATTGGTGAGGTGCAGGAGGTCCCACGGTGGTTGGCGAGGAGCGGCATAGTGCTTTGAGGCGGTGATCGGCGAGGCACGACGCATAGGCGATGGTCCTGTGGTGATCGACGATGAGCTGCACATCGCATGGAGGCGGCCATTGTCGAGGCGGCATGGCTAGATCTAGCGTTCCCTCGCCTGGACCCAACGTATCCTGGTCTCATTTCCCCGTCTGGTCGAAGCAGAGCCATCATTGAGGAGGTGGGGTGGAGTTCACCAGCACGGAGCGGAGGTGGTTGGCCTAGCATTTGGGAGCGGCCGGCGAGGAGGCTAGCTGGAGCTTGTCGGAGTAGACGGAGGTACAGGGCTAGCTGCAGCGACAGGGCTCCATGGTGGCGTCGATGGCTACCGAATTGGTAGCTTACCGATGGTGGCAACATGTAAGTTTCCCGATGGAGGGTGGCACTAGTGCCTACCTGATCGTGGGATTCCCGACATCACGGCGAAGTTGGAGGCGGCAGCGGACTTGGTGACGACGGCAGTCGGCGGTGGTATTGGGTAGAGACTTCGGCTAGTCCTCCATCCCTCCCTCTATCATCGAAAAATGAGGGTTGATAGCGGTGGGGGCTAGCCCTCCCCCATGATGGTGGGCCAGTTCATATGCATGGTGACTGTGGTGAATGATTGGTTCGGTGATGGCAGATAAAGTCGGCGATGGTGGAGGCTCTTAGCGGCGGTGTCCTAGGGACGGCGACACTAGGCGAGCTCCAGCACCCGAATCTGACTATGGCCAAGCCAGGATTGCAGAAAGGTGGTTGTAGGTGACATGGATGATTGACAATGTGATGATCATCGACTCGCCTAATGCAGATGAAGACAAGAACAACAGAGGCTCTCAGCAGTAGCTGCCAAGCGAGCGTTGGCGCCAATATATGAGTGCGGGTAGGTGTGGATGGTGGTGGAGCATCTCTGGCAAGCTCATGGCAGTAAAGGCAGGTGCATGTCGTGCTGAACGGCTCTGTGTGATGCTCTAGGAACGGCCGGGAGTTTGAAAGTTTGCGGGAAATGATGGTGGTGCGACATAGCGGATTCGCGGCGCACTAGGTAGTTTCAATTCTCCCCATCCTCCCTCTCATGCTGTGACAAAAGGAGTAAGTCATCTTTGATGGTTGAAGCTAAGTCTTCAAGTAGCTTTTTTTTTCTTGTTTTCTTCTTTGTTTCTTCTATGCGGGGTTTAGAGTCTAAATAACTCGTATAAGATTTGAATGTGTATATGGTTCATGGATATAGAGACCAAATTTAAGAAAATCCATGATCTTAAAAAATGTTGCATTAAAAATATGAAGGTTTGAATTGGAAATACATACTTCCTTCATTTTAGGTTATAAGTTGTTTTGACTTTGGTCAAAGTCAAACTGTTTCAAGTTTGACTAAATTTATAGACAAATATAATAATATTTATAATATTAAATTAGTGTCATCAAATTAATATTGAATATATTTTGATAATGGGTTGAAAATGTTACTACTTTTTTCTATAAATTTTCAAACTTAAAACAGTTTGACTTTGACCAAAATCAAAACGTCTTATAACTTGAAACGGAGGGAGTAGGTAAAATACTTCTCATACTATTTAGAGTTTGATTTGTTCCTTTTTTCCGTCAATATATAGATCAACTTTAAAATATGCAGTCCCATCGTTTCATCTAAAACTGGTTAAAATCCGTAACGTTTGTTAATGATAAAAAAAACAATTTATATGGAAAAAATTTATATACTCCACCCATCCCTAAATATTTGACGCCGTTGACTTTTTTAAACATGTTTGACCGTTCGTCTTATTAAAAACTTTTGTGAAATATGTAAAACTATATGTATACATATAAGTATATTTAACAATTAATAAAATAATAGGAAAAGAATTAATAATTACTTATTTTTTTTAATAAGATGAACGGTCAAACATTTTTAAGAAAGTGAACAGCGTTAAATATTTAGGGACGGAGGGAGTGTGTTTTCAGCAACTTAAAAACTATGTAAAAAAATAAAATAAGATGAAAGTTATAAAAATCAACTTTGAGATTATGATTTAAATTTTAAATTTTGGATGTGACTGATAAGCTAATAGGGAAATCTGAGCTAAATATCCCTGTAATTTCAGGGTAAACGAGGAGGAATGTCCTAGAGGTGTACATATCTAGCTCAACTAAACTTTTTTTTAAAAGAAAATCAAGTTAAGAAAGGCACTTGAAGTTGCCCGAAAATTACCGTTTTCCTTTTGTACTGAAGAATGTAGAACTCAATGAACATTGGTCAACAACGAATGTACGGTCTGCCTAGTGGCGGAAGCTAGTATCCTTGAAGTGTCCCAGACTTTCCAGGAAATAACTCGGTAGAAATAAATTCAGACTACTAAGGCCGTATTTAGATTTAGATTTTTTCTTCAAACTTTCAACTTTTCCATCACATCAAATATTTGGACACATGCATGAAGCATTAAATATGGATGAAAAAAACCAATTACACAGTTTGCATGTAAATCGCGAGACGAATCTTTTGAGCCTAATTACACCATGATTTGACAATATGGTGCTACAGTAAACATTTGTTAATGACAGATTAATTAGGTTTAATATATTCGTCTCGCAGTTTACAGGCGGAATCTGTAATTTGTTTTGTTATTAGTCTACAGGCCTGTTCACTTTGATGAAAAAAATCTTACCAAATTTTAGCAATACCAAAATTTTGGCATAGTTGCCAAAATTTTAGCAACTTACCAAATTTTGGTAGGATTTCTTATATAGTTAACAAAATTTGACAGCAAACTAAATGTAACCATTTTTTTGGCAACTTTACCAAAATTTGGTAAGGTTGAAAATGGCATCAAAGTTAACAGGTCATATATTTAATACTTCAAATATGTGTCCGTATACTTAAAAAAAAATTGGCAAAAAATTGGCAAGAGAGTCTTGTATTCTTGTCGCCTGCTTCTGATTGTTGATTTTCAGGCAGCTCACCTGGTCGACTTCCACACCGCATCATATTCTCTAGCTCCATGCCTTCATCTTGTTCAGGTTCCTACTGATAATAATTAACAAGGATATACCGATCATATCGATGGCGCCTGTGAAGGTGTTTGGGCCGGCGAAGTCGACCGCCGTGGCTCGGGTGCTGGTGTGCCTGGAGGAGGTCGGCGCTGAGTACGAGCTGGTCGGCATACACATCCCCGCCGGCGAGCAGAAGAGCCCGGCGCATCTCGCCCGCAACGTACGTAACGCGATCTTCCCTCTTCACTCTCGTGCAAATTCAAAACTTCTATGTAGCTGAGAAAGAGTCAGAACCAATCTCAGAAGTAGTACTACTTCATGTAGCAAGATTAGGATATGTAAAATGGTTGTTAACAGTGGTCTCTTAGCGTTGCTAATTAGGAATACTTGTTGACATGGAGGAAAGAGAAAGAGGAGAGACAAAACATCGTTGTTAGGGCATGTACAAATATAGAGTCGGATATGAGCTCTACGTTATTTAGAGACTAGCATCCTACAACAGTTAGAGACAATATGGTCTCTAATCATTAATGTATCAAAAATACTTTTTCTTACTTTTATTTCCTTTCTTTCACCACCATGCAACAAAATTTGCTCTAGTAAATGCTAAGAGTCGATTCTGAGCCGTTGTCATGCATAACAACCATACTCCTTTCTCTTTCCTCTATGTCACCAAATTTACTTGCATGGCAATAGAGAGAGAACACTAATAAACACCGTTGTACATGCCCTTATACATGACAACGGCTTAACAACGACTCTTACACTATAATATAGAAATATGGTTGCATGAGGATAAAAATATGGAAAGAATATTAACAAAAGGAATATTTTTTGAGTTAATGATTAGAGTCTTTGTCGTCTCAACTATTATAAAGACATGGTCTCTAAATATCTTGTATTGTTTAAGAGACCATACCTGTCTCTACCATTGAACATGCCCTTAGAGCTAAGCTAGATTTGCCCTCGTATGAGTCGATCTTTATTTGTTTTCTTTCTATCTGCTTTCAGCCATTCGGTCAAGTTCCAGCTTTCCAAGATGGCGATCTTATCCTTTTCGGTAAGATATCTCTAGGGGAAAACTTGTACATACTCTAGAACTGAATAGAACACTACTTAATATAAAGAATCTAAACATGCTGTTTTGTCATGATTCGTTGTAATATATGGTGTTCTATCTAATCCTACTGTTAGAGATATTTGTGTGCATGCATATCTTATTCTGTTTTTGCCGTTTATCTCTCACAATCTATTCCGATTTTGTTTCTATAAGTCGGTTGAGATATTGTGGAGAGGTAGAGGCTATATGTACACATGTTGCGCGATGAATCTTTTTATCGTGTTGAGCTATCCCTGCTTTCACCTACATTGATATATTATAGGACGGAGAGAGTAAATGTTATAACTTTGATGAAATAATCAAAAGTTCAAAACATAAGCATACTTGTAGGGTATTTTGGTAAGTTTTAGTCTAGACTTTGGTACTTTCCAATACCTAAGTCAATGAGAAATATCAAAATTTGTATTAAAAAATATGATAACCTTTTAAGAGATAGGGAGAATACGAAAAATGAGATACTTAGGGTATCTACTTATATAATCCACTCGTATATTTTTACGCCTCGTAACAATACAAATGAATGTGAATACGTAAATTTAACTAAGCTGTTGTCTTCTCTGCCATCGTTACCAAGTTGTCACTTTCTTTTGTCGATTGACAGAGTCTCGTGCAATTGCAAAATATATACTCCACTTCGCAAAAGCGCATCAGACTTGCTGAAGGAAAGCAACCTCTCGCAGTCTGCAATAATGGTCGATGTGTGGCTCGAAGTTGAGTCCCAAACTTTCGACACTGCCATGTCAGCAATCACTTTCCAATGCTTAACAATACCCACTTTCATGGGCGGAATTGCTGACGACAAAATCGTGGAGGAGAATTTGGGGAAACTGAAGAAAGCCCTTGAGGTTTACGAGGCACGCTCGTGCAGGTTCAGGTACTTGGCCGGTGATTTCATCAGCCTGGCAGATCTCAGCCATTTTCCTATGACGCACTACTTGTTAGCTACTCCTCATGCATCAGTGCTCGATGCATACCCACATGTGAAGTCTTGGATCAATGATTTGATGAAGAGGCCGGCTGTGAAGAGGGTGAGAGAGCTTATGGAGGCATGATGAGAAAAAGGAGATATCCATCAATTAATCATCAGTCTGTAGGTATGAAATGTTTGTCATTTCTGGTGGGGCTGTTAGTTAATTATAATGGCTTAATCCAGAGAAAGGAAGGAACGACATTCATTATCTTAATTAAAACAAAAAAATGTCACGCCTCCATGTGTCCACGTAGCTTATTATGCAGCTTTGAGTTGAGAGACTTAATTCCAAGTTGTTTCATGATTTGATCAGATTATTTAAAAAAAAAAATCTCTGCTGTTGAGATATGCATCTCCGGATCTCCCCATGAGTTGACCACTACAGTGCTCTGATCAACTCGCTATAAAAGCGACCAACCCCTTCGCCTTCGCCTCAAGTCACACGACGCCATCAATCACCATCTACACCTCTAGAGAGCTAATTAAGCTAAGGAAAGAGAAAAATGGCGCCGGCGAAGGTGTACGGGCCGGCGATGTCGACGAACGTGATGCGCATCCTGGTGTGCCTGGAGGAGGTCGGCGCCGAGTACGAGGTCGTGCCCGTCGACATGTCCACCGGCGAGCACAAGCGCCCGCCTCATATCTCCCGTAACGTAAGTACAAACGTCGCGCGCGTGCGTCTTCTCTTGCTCTTGTGTAATCGATCGCTTATTACCGGAGTTGCAATTGCACACGATGGTAGCTTAGTACTAGGTACTAGCTAAGATAGTATTCAAAGAGAGTAGGAATAGCTAGGCAGCTAGTGACGTTTCTTAGCCAAGTTTGTATGATAGCGTAAAAAAAATCATTAACATTAAATTAGGTTTATTAAATTAACTATTATATATACTTTTTACTATATGAGCATCTTATATTAAAAATGTTGCTATATTTTTTTTTATAAAACTGGTCAATAAATTTGACTTAAATAAAACCAGAACATATAACAGACGCTCGCATTGAAGTTTTGGCATGCTCATCATTAGTTACGAAGAGTAGCTATATTTTTAGCATCATATTAAAAAAATATTCAAAACGTTTTTATATGATAAATAATTACCTACTCTTACATTGTAATTACGATGTAAATTTTCAATCTTAAACTGCAATTATATTATACGATTTAATATTTACATTTGGATTTTTCCTAATACACAACATATAAGATAATTAGGATTAAAACTAATTTATTATCTACTTACAAAATAAGAGGACATAGGACAGATAGAAGCATATGCTTACATATAGAAGAGAGCGGGAAAAAATAAATCAAATCAAGTTAAAAAAACGTGGCACCATATTTTTAATAAAACCGTTAATTATTACTAGTTTCGACGCCATCGGTGTTATCTTTAGGTTCTGTTAATGTTAATCACGTCTTTTGTATCTCTCTCTATGTGTTGCAGCCCTTTGGGCAGGTTCCAGCGTTCGAGGATGGCGACCTGACTCTGTTCGGTGAGATAGCATCGTATACTGCCCACTTGCTTTGTGATGTGACATTGGATCGATCAACACAAACTATTATTGTGTGTGTATAATAAACTATAAATAATTTTAACTTTTTTCTAGTCAAACTTATCGAAGATTGACCAAATTTATTAAAAAAGATTAATAATATTTTCAGCACAAAATAAATATATTTTATATTATATTTAATGAAATACCGTACCTGTTATCAAATTTTTCTATAAACTAAAACAAACGTAAAATAAAATTAACTAGAAAAATGTTAAATCGACTTATAAAATAAAACGGAGGGTACTATTTTACTTGCATCTTTGCTATTTTCTTGGAAGATATTTTAGATAACTGTTCCAGTGTTCCATTATAGACTTTAGTAATTTAAAAACGAGAATACAATAGCAAGAAAGTCAAACACTCTGATTCCTTTCGGAGTAGTAATATATTGTTCTCGCTAAGCACATGTTCCGAATTCACTAGGTGATGCTTGACCTTCAACCACTGCAATACTCTTGCTTCCTACTACTATCACCAAGAGTAGAATAAATTAAAGTATATTTTTGACACTAATTTTTATTATTACATTCGTTTTTAAACAACTGACAGTGAACACTGTTTATTTTAAACTTGACCATTCATTTGTTTTTGAAATATTTATAAACACTAAACGGAATGCCATGTAATTAAAGTCTACAGTGTCCTAAGGATAAAAACGAATTTTTGGTTCATTTAATCTGACCATTTAAAGTTCCAATAGTATATTTGATACATACCACAGTACAATATATAATTACCACAGTGATACACACGCCAATTTTCATATAACTGTCAATATCTCACCTTCTTTTACCTTCCACTAAATCGAATATGATAATAACTGAGCTCAAACTTAATCACTATAGTTCAATCTGGTGTAAACCTCATATGCCATTGGTGTCAACGGTCGCCACAATTATTTGACTTGTCATTTTCATCTTATATCCATTGTTCTTCCACCAATATGACAAGCTGCATTTTAACACAGAGTCCCGCGCAATTTCAAAGTACATACTTCGCAAACATGGATCTGACCTACTAAGGGAGAGCAACCTCTCTGAGTCTGCAATGGTGGATGTTTGGCTGGAAGTCGAGTCGAGCCATTTCGACGGCGCGATGTCGCCGATCATCTTCCAGTGCTTCATCGTCCCCATGTTCATGGGTGGAGCAACTGACATTGGAGTGGTCAATGAGAGCTTAGAGAAGCTGAAGAAAGCCCTTGAAGTCTACGAGGCGCAGCTGTCCAAATCCAAGTACTTAGCCGGGGATTTCATTAGCTTGGCAGATATCAGCCATTTCCCGACGGTTTATTACCTGCTGGCATCTGCCCATGCTTCTGTGCTCGAAGCCTATCCGCGTGTGAAGGCTTGGATCGATGATGTGATGCAGAGGCCGAGCGTGAAGAAGGTGACAGAGGCTCTGAAGATGCCGTCTGCTTAATAAAAACTGAAGCTATACAGTTTGTAGTAATGAACTCAATTTCAGCGTTGCGTGACATGATGCAGCAGTTTGCATCATCTGTATGACTATATTCGTCTAGAAAAAACGTGTTGTTTGTTCATTAATAAGCAGTGTAGCGCCTATATTTATGAGATGCATGCACATTATCTTCAATAAATTTATATGGTATTGAACTTTTCACTACAGCTTATGATGAGATAAATATCTGTCAAACTGACAAATATAAACATGCATCTATATTGATAGGATTATTTTTCTATGCCTCCTTTGTGGAGCTACAGGTAATGAAAAGTTATAGTACCTATACAAAAGAGTAATCGAGTAAAAAGAAACCTTTCATTGAAAATATTAGATCATTTTTGCCATGCAAGCAAGTCCTCTTGGACCACTCCAACACTATACATGATTAATATGAGTCGATAATTGTTCAATCCAGGTTTTATCACTTAATTAGCTGACCTACTTCCTCCTTTCACAAGGTAAGACTTTCTAGCATTGCCCACATTCATTTAGATGTTAATGAATCTAGACATATGTATGTGTTTATATTTATTAACATCTATATGTATGTGGGCAATGCTAGAAAGCCTTACATTGTGAAACGGAGGGAGTATGAAGTAACATCATGGAAAAACAACTTCTTGTATCAAGCCAACAGCTATGGACGGTGAAGCAATTCGATCGCCATGGCGCTGGTGAGGGTGTTTGGCTCCGCGACACCAAGCAACACATGGCGGGAATTCGCCACAAAGCACCTAACAGCTGCCTAGAACTGATTTTTGGAGCACACTCTAATGGACAGTTTTTAACACCAGAAAAACTGTTAGCGGAGAACACATTTTAACTACATATATAGTATCGCACAAATATTCAATCAAGACAAATATAATACCCATTTTCTTCACATTTAAATGTACCGCATAATACAGCACACAAATGCAATACGCATTTTTTTCGCACAAGAAAAACGATGCTATCCACAACAGCAGCGCTCAAGTACTCAGGAATCAGGACTGAGCATGGGAGTACCATTTCTTTTCGGCTGAGCGAAGGTCTTCACTTAGAGTTTACAAGTCAGAATCATACATCCAAGAGAGATGGACCCAAGAAATAACTCTTTGTTTCTATGGTTATGGTTGGGATGCACCCTCAGCTATGCTCGAAGACTCGAAGTTGCATAACAAGTTATCGTGTATTTTCGGCACCATATGTCGGGAATATCCAGGCTTTTTCATCTCTTTCTAGCATGAACAGATAATGCCACATTTAGTTACTATCTAGGTTTAGAGGGACGCCCAGGGGACCTTAACACACCACTCCTTCATCTTTCAGGGTTTGTCCAGTCATTAGATAGGTACCTCGCTTTGACATTAAGTTAACTTGATAGACTTCAAACTAGAGTTGCCACACTCGATAGGCGGGTAGAACCATTATGTCATTAAGGGTATTATGATAATGCCTTTATTTATGGGAGCACCATTATGCAACCACTCACCGAAACACTGGCACCTCCTATGGGTAAATCGTAGGGCACACATGGGAGTGGGATATCATCATAACAACCGCACTATGGCTGACCCGACATTTGTTGGTAATCCAGCATTACATGGACTGTCATATTTTATGAAAGGAATGGTCGACACTACCGTCTAACCATGGCGACCCCTACCACTGTGGTACCCAATCCTCCAGCTGGGTTTTCTGAAGGCACTTAGATCTTGTAATAGGGATCCTTGAATAAATGTAACCCTCCTATAGTGCTATGTAATATTATCTAAATCTGAACCTTCTAGTAGTCAAATTTTGTAACACCATGTCCTGTACGTGGTTCTATGTGACTACCATCCATCTTTATGTATGCAAACCTATGATAAATCAATGTGAAGTTATGTAAACTTTTGTGATTGCTCTTCCATTTTGAATTGATATGCTTGTTGTGCAGAACTTATTATTCTGTAAAGTTGAAATTTTACTCCTTTAAAACCTGCACAATAGAAACATAAATCTAGTACTCTATTCGGCTATCTCAAGTTTTGTCATATCTTGCTTAGCTTGCTCATGTACTCATTTGTACTTTGAGTGCAGGATGACTAATACTCGATCCATGTCCGGGAAACCGGAGGTCGGTGCTCCGAAACAATCCCTTCTAATCTAACCTGAGCTGGCACTCAGCCATCAGGTCATGCTAGAGGAAGTTGTCGAATCGCAGAAGGTGATCAATGTGATGATAAGCTTTCTTTACCACATATCTTAGCCACCCAGAACCGGCTATTTGAAAGGATGAAAGCAAATGCCGAGAATGTGGGTGCTGCTATGGTCAATCATGCAAAACAAGGACAATCCAAGCTCGCCAACGTTCAATGCACTCACCCTCCACATCTCTTCTCTGCTACTGATCCACTGGCTCTGTGGCAGTGAATCCAAGCTTGACCTCTGCCGATGCAAAAATGTGGAGAAAGCCTCCTATGCTTCCTATTACCTTCAGGGTGCAGCCTCAGCTTGGTGGGAGTCATACAAGACTCTTATTCCTCCCGATGAGCTTATCGGCTGGGTTGTTTTCAAAGGAGGGATTTAGATTTGCTCATATACATGCCAGTCTCATGGAAATGTAGAAGAAAGAGTTTCTCAACTTGTAGCATGGGAATATGTCCTTTATGGAATTTCTAGATTGCTTGAACTATCTAGGGCACTATGCAACTTTAGAGATGCCCACTAAAGCTAGGAAATTTGAGCTATGCCGCGACCGACTTAATCTGGAACTCAAGCATGCTCTCTTTGCTCATAAAATTTCTAGCATGAAGACTCTGGCTGACAAGGCTCTTCGTGTGGAAGCCAGTGAAAAGGAAGTTCTTGAGGATCGCAAATGGAAGTGGGTAGCCAGAAAAGATGCAAGTAGCAGCAGCTCTACCCGATGCGCCTTTCTCAGCCCACGATGGTCCGCTATGTGGCTTCGCAGCCACCGACGCCACAGTTTGCTGTTTCCCATCATTCAGCTCCGACAACAGTTCAATTATATTCCTGTGGTGCCTCATCGCAAGGAAATCAGAATCGTGTAGCTAACATAAATGCTACAACGTACTGCGGGAAACTTGGTCATTATTCCAATAACTATCCATTTCCGAAGACCGAACGATTAGTGCCACGTCTTCAGGGAACAAAACCGCAGCCACATGGTCCCGCACAGGGTCATGGTGGGCAGCAAGGTGGACATATTGCAGCCAAGCCATCTCAACCTATTGGATGGGGCCGACTCAATCATGTGGCCGTTGAGGAGACTACGGACACATCTGACATCGTGCTGCGTACTTTTCATGTGCACTCTGCTCCTACTCTTGTTCTTTTCAACTCTGGGTCATCACATTCTTTCATATCTACCAGATTAGTGAACCAACAAAATCTGAAAGTCAACCTATTAAAGAATGCCATGTTAGTACAATCTCCCGTTGCAACCATTAAAACCAATCTAGTATGTAATGATGTTGAAATTCTAATAGAGGGGTGAAGTTCAAAGCCAACCTCATTCAGTTAAACTATCCTAGCTTAGATGTCATCTTGGGTATGAATTGGTTGTCCAAACAAGGAACCATAGATTGTACTAAAAATATTATGTCATTAGTAAAAACTGATGGTCGACATATCACATTCACATCTGATCGTGCTACTACTTCTCAGCAGCCATCACTTCATTCTCTATCAACATCGAGCTCAAATCAGTACCCATAGTAAAAGAGTATCCATGTGTGTTCCCTGATGAACTACCAGGAATGCCACTTGACCGTGACATCGAGTTTGTGATTGATTTAATTCCTGGGACAGCACCTATAGCTAAAAGACCATACTGTATATCCTCTAAAGATTTGGTGGAACTTAAAAGGCAAATTAATGAACAATTAGCTTAAGGATTTATTCGTCCTAGCTCCTCTCTGTAGGGATGAACGTTGTTGTTCGCTCCAAAGAAAGACGGTACCATGCGAATGTGTGTGGATTATTGTCCTCTAAATGAAATCACTATAAAAAAATCCTCTTCCAAGAATCGATGATCTTTTCGACCAATTGACCGGTGCTCGTATCTTCTCCGAAATTGATCTGTGATTAGGATTTTCAACTGAAAATCGAACCGGAGGACATTCCAAAAACTTTGTTTACCTCTCGCTACGGTTTATTTGAGTATACCGTAATTTCCTTTGGATTGACCAATACTCGTGCTACTTTCATGAATATGATGAATACAATTTTCATGGAGCATCTTGTCAAATTTGGGTTGGTATTCATCGATGACATCCTTATTTACTCTAAAAATGAGTAAGAGCATGCCCATCATCTGCGTTTGGTGTTAGACAAACTCCGTGAACATCAACTCTATGCAAAATACTCCAAATGTGAATTTTCGTTGAAAGAAGTTTCTTTCCTTGGCCATGTTCTTTCCAAAGGAGGGATCGCACTCAACCGAGGTAATGTACTGTTGTCGAAACGACAACCGCATACGTCGAAAGACGTGGTTACTCAACAGTGGTTGGAAAGCAGTAAAGTGTATTAAATTGAGAATTTTTCTTGGGATCCCCCTTTTACATGGCCCTAGGGGTCTATTTATAGCCCTATTACAGGTTCCCCTATTAGGGTTTAGGTTTAATAGGGGAATTTACATGGTTGCCCTTATGAAAGGGACATTTACATGGGTATATAGTGTAATTGAGGTACATGGGCCTCTAATGGGCCGACTGGCGAACGCTGGCCCAGTGGCCCCCGGGCTTGATCGGCTGAGACGGCCTCTTGGGCCTCCTTGAAGTTTGGCTTGCTATGGCGAAGTCATCCGCCTTCGCCATACCTTCTTCGCCATATAGACTTCGCCCAAAATGCCTTCAACCTTGTGGGATACCAGTGCGATTCTTCGCCCTTCGCCATCTTTGCTTCATAGTCTTCGCCATGGGGGCTTCGCCCCGATAGACTCGACGTCTTGGGCTTGAACCCTCCATTAGTTGCATGGTTTCGGCAGGACCGGTCGAAGAGTCTCATGACATACCGCCAACAAGCCTCTCACAGGAAAGGGTGAGATAGGAGCTTCGGCTGAGACCGTGCAAACCATGTGGTATGGTATGAGGCACCCCTTTTCGACCGACGCTCCTGCCGAAACCTATTATGGATTCCTGCAGAGAAAACGTGCATTGTGTGTACGTGTATTTTTATG